TAACAGTCCAACATGGCGGCACCGAAAACCCCTCCGCGTAATAGTCTATATACAGAGTAGTTAATTTTTCTGTATGCACTCGCGATTACCAGTACATTTGAGAACGTCGCCTTTAATTTGGTGCAAAAAATAATAATAGTGACTCAAAATTTTCGTCTGAGAACTCCTATCACATGAACAAAAAAAGATAAATTTTGTTGTTTTTTTAATTTGTCAGACGCAACCTTGAATGAGAACCCGCAGACATCCTAGGGAAGTAGTGCCCCCCCAGGATGAATCAGTGGTTAGGCACTCGCCTGCTGACCGGAAGGAAGGTCGAGAGTTCGATATCGGCGGCGGCGGCGCTCGCATTTCGGTACAGGCTAAACGGTTGAGGCCCGTGATTGATTGATTGATTTGTGGGGTTTAACGTCCCAAAATCACCATATGATTATGAGAGACGCCGTAGTGGAAGGCTCCGGAAATTTTGACAACCTGGGGTTCTTCAACGTGCACCCAAATTTGAGCACATGGGCCTACAGCATTTCCGCCTCAATCGGAAATGCAGCCCCGCGGCAGCCGGGATTCGATCCCGCGACCTGCGGGTCGGTTGAGGCCCGTGTATCGCGCGACGTCGGAACACCAGATGGTCGAAATTCCCGGAGCTCTCCACTAAGGCGTCCCCACGTGATCATATCACGACTTCGGAAACCCTAGATGTAATTATCATATTATATTATTAGTCAAGGGCAATACGGGATACGTTATTTGCAGTAATTACGCTACAACTGCGAAAAAAAATTATGCTATAGCTGCGAAGAAGCGGGACACCATGCTTGTTAATTAGCTGTCACGGCAGCTACCCGGGTTCAATTATCCTTTACAGAAAAAAAAAGCACAGGCGATGTCTATCCCTTTTCCTTCCAGCTATCGCATTCTCACACACTCTTGCTACATTGCTTCTTTAGTTTTAATCTGCAGTATGTAGCGTCTCCCTTAATACAGCACACGCAATTACGTCACACGCCCCCAAAGCGCGCGCAGACCCGTAATCAACGCGTTAATCGCCCCCCAATTTAATCTACGCTTACTACTTCTCGTCCGTTCGATCTCAGGGCGACTTAAATTTGTTCTCGGCTTTTTGGCGTTACCCACTCATAGGGAGCAGTAGATTAGGAGACAAAAGGCGAGGAGTAAAGCAATGGAGGGAGGGGGGAGTGGCAAGTGGGGATGTAACGCGGGGATAAACGCGCCGATCAATCTAGACGTAATTATAGAGAGAGAACTCTGCGCGACGCCTTGAGCAGCCGGTGGCAATTTCGATTTTGTTGCGGACTTGCAACGATGAAGAAAAGATGAATGGGGTGATGCAGTGCCGATAAAACTTGCATGAGGTGAAACGCTGCGAGATACATTAACAATGGCGCCGTATAAGCGCAGGAAGTAGGAACGTTATGACGGTTGTTTTGGGATTAATGCTTCCACGAATATAATCGAAAAGGTCGGCAGGCGAAGTACGAGTGATCGATAGAAGCGAACGAGGCGAACATGGACGCGATCTGGTCAATGGCGTCGCGGTACGTGTTGTACGCAACTGTGAGGTGGAGGCACCTGTTGTGTGCGGACTTGCGTAATCACCTCCCGGATAAAATCAATCAATCAATCAATCAAAGAGTGAAGGCCGCAGTACGTCAGTCTTAGCGAGGCGCCCTAGTCTGCAGTCTACACGGATGGAGCCCTCTTTGAAACATCATTCACGATTCGTGTTACGAAATACGGTGTTCAGTTCTGGATAAAATGAAAGGCTAATTAACGCGTTTGTCTTACTTCCCAGCGACATCTGCGCACTTGTTCCACCTGCTCATTCATTCGTTTGTTTGCTAGCTTCATTTGATTTTTTTTTTCAATCTCACCGCTGGAGTACATGCACAGTTTCGGGGCAGGAATTAAACTTGAGACAACTGTTGCCAGACTGATATGTGGTACAAAAAATGCAAAAAAAGTAAAACTTGACCCAGTAACCCTCACAGGTCTATAATTAAAAATTAAAGGACACTTTGAAAATTCAAAAATGTGTTCGACGAAAGCCTGTGGCCATTGGACTGACTGCGCCATGTCTCCTTTTCCCCCCCCTTTTTTATATCACTCTATGAGCAATCACGTGATTGCTTTGCGAGAGTGTGAGCGGGAGAGGCCGCAGCTGGCACCGTTCCAGGGCACGGACGGACGGGCGCGAGCATGAGACATTGAAAGCTGTCGCGTCATTATATCGTGGGTTTAGCGTCCCAAAACCACGACATGATTGCGAGGGACGCCGCAGTGGAGGGCTCTGGAAATTTCGACCATATACGGTCTATTGTGTTTACTAACGTGCACCGATATCACACAGTACACTAACCTCTAGCACTGCGCCTCCATCGAAATTCGACAGCCGCGGCCATGATCGAACCAACGGCGTTCGGGTCATGATGATGAAATAAACGTCCATTGTCCCAAAACTAGTGTTCCAGAGCTCGTGAGCTCGGGTTTACCCTACAGGTGGGAGGGTCCCTCATTCCAGGCAACTTCTGGCCGCAATCACCTCATGCTGGCGGTCTGTCCCACGACTCTCGCCGACCCCGAACAACAATGGCTTTACTGGCAGAAGATGGTGCAAAGCGCTCCATATCAAGATCAGTTATGTGCGGGCAGTCGAAAAAGCCCACGATGACACAGTAAGCCTTGGCCTGACGGTAAACCGACGTAGATACACGTCGGTATACCATCACTAGTACACTAGTGAAGTACACTAGTAAAGTTTTTGAATGAATGAATTAATTAATTAATCACCTCCCGGGCCCTGGCGACGAGTCCTCGTCGGTCTTCTATAGATCCTGTGCGGCGATCTTGGTCCGCACCGTCTCGGCTAGGGGATCAATACGTGCGGTCGTTGCGGTCTTGACATTGCCACCTACGTGGCGCTACGGGCACTCGAGTATTATTAGGTGTGCCAGCGCGTCTGGCACGTCGCATACCGGGCAGTTGTACGCACAAAGCGTCGGGTCGATGACGCACGCAAACGCGTTGGTTTGCAGAGTTCTGAATTCTGTGGCTTCTTCTTTAATCAGCGCGAGGTGAGGATGGCGGGTATACACCATGCGAGCAACCTATTATAGGCGACAGTGCTGTAGCACGGCGTTATATGTTGGTGTTATACGGTCTGGCAAACCGCACCGCAGGCGAGAAACAAAGCTCGGTGCCAACTAACGAGGCGAGCGCCCCGTCGCGTTCACTGTTAATCGTTTAAATACACTATGACACCGATTTTTTTCGAAGCTGAGGTTACCCTGTAATAAAAATCACTTGTATACAGAGACGGCTTCCAGAAAATACGAAGCTAGGTAAATGTTGAGATATATTTTTTATTGTACAATTTTCGCATGAAGCGCACTTATTCACATTGACACTAACGCGCCATCAGGCTACAGTGCGGCTTGCGATGACGTCAAAAAATGCAATACGGTCGCTTGTTTGATGATTTGATATGTGGGGCTTAACGTCCCAAAACTACCATATGATTATGAGAAAACGCCGTAGTGGAGGGCTCCGGAAGTTTATACCACCTGGGGTTCTTTAACGTGCACCCAAATCTGAGCACAAGGGCCTACGACGTTTCCGCCTCCATCGGAAATGCAGCCGCCGCAGCCGGGATTCGATCCCGCGACCTGCGGGTCAGCGGCCGAGTACCCTATAGTCACTAGACCACCGCGGCGGGAGAATATAGTCGCTTGGCGTCAAAGCAGCCACGGATCAGAGTGGCAGTGGAAACGTTTCGATATGCAGTGCGAGCACCGTGAACTGGTTAGCACTGCGCTGTGGTCTCAGGGTTCAGTAGGATCCGAAACTAGCATCGAAACTGATTTTTCAGTGCGCACTCAAGCTTACCAATGCCTATTGCAGGTCTTCGGACCCTGGCCTTTCATTTGATTAAAAAAAAAAAACGGCGATTGGAAAATGTTCGCGTCAGCACCCTTTTACACTCACACAAATGGCACGACGGGTGGTATACTCCGACAAAAATTTAAAAACGCACACACAAAAAAAAGGAACTTCCTCTCTTCCCAGAGATTGCACTGCAAATGCGCGCCCGCGTTGCCGCAGGAAGTTCTCACGCCGCTTTTCCGCATAAAAAGCGCTAAAAGAACAGAAAAAAAAAACGCTTTTTTTTAGGAGGCGTTGACTGCAAGCTATAGGTGCTCCTCCTTACGAGGAGACCAAAGTTGCGAGAATTGCGATACAAAAATACAGGCGACTCCTTCCACGAAGCATTTAGCTCTGAACACCCCCTATAGAGGTGTCTGTGTATATACTAGAAACCCGTTTGCGACATATGGTGCGTTCAAGTTGACTCGGACCAAGCTCGTTAAAACAGGGGAAAGATAGGTGCGACGATGGGAACGTGCTGTGTGCGTATGTGCGTGTATGTGTGTGTTTTGGTACCGATCATGCACAAACTGCCGCTTCCCTTCGGTGTTAGCACTGAGTACATAACTAGCAAACGCACTTATTGAGTTACCTTAGACTCCATGTGAAATGGCGCATCGCATTCTAAAGCGTCATGTTTAATCCCTCTTAGCCGGCTAATTCTTTCATGGTCATCGAAACTCCGTTGCATATTGTGACGTCATGATGACGTCATCGTCATCCGCTTTCAGTTAATTCACCTGATGAGGCCCCATTTATATACAAACTCACGTAGTAACATTAAGGTGCACCCAACTGGAAATGCGATCGCCACGTCCGGTATCGAACCCGCGTCCTTCCAGTCAGCAGTAGAGTACCAGATACCCGCCATACAACCGCGCCGCCGTATACAACCGCGCCAGCCCTGAACTAACGAACCATTTCCTTAACCAACAAAACGACAATGTATGCGTACGTGGCTGAGGCCTAACTAAATTTTGGAGAGCTCAGAGGCTGCGAAAGCGACGCGCATGGTATAGTTAAGACAGCTGTATAGCGCGCGTGGGCACGTGACTTACTTGGCGCTGCTGCGCAGACTCCGTCGGTTGTAGGAGAGTGCCGAGAAGACGACGACCGGAGCTCTCTTGGCGCTGACCATGTACACCCTGTACGAAAGAGTCAAGAACAAGGGAGCGGTTACGAATACCTCTTTACACGTTCAGAAGTTCGTACTCGCAAGCTCCTTTTCATAATAACATATGGGGTTTAACGTCCCAAAACCACGATACGATTATGAGACGCCGTAGTGGAGGGCTCTGGAATTTTCGACCATTTGGTGTTCTTTTAAAGTGCGCAGACATCGCACAGTGCACCGCCGCGACTGGAATCGCACCCACGATCGTTGAGTCAGAAGCCGAGGGCCGTAGCCACTGTTCCACAGAGGAGGGCACTTAGCTTCCGGCAACAAGCACCCAAAAAAAAAAAAGGCTTCGTTCTGCGGCTGCCGGGAGGTGGCGACAAGTTTATGCGAACGACATCTTGCCAGCGAAACCAAACGAATCGAACAGGCAATTAGGCTAAGGGAAGCGTGGGGGACATTAATTATTGTATCCAACCGTAGTTTACAATTACGAAGTAATCAGAAATGCATTAAAGTGGACAGAAAAGTTCCACATTTTCGGCAGTCTGCTCACGTGACGTAATTGACAAGGTAAGTAAGGTCCTGATTGGCCTATGTACGAGAGGTACCTGTTCTGAATTGTCTCCTACCCTGCCTTGACACGCAGTGGTGTGTGCCCGGCCTGGCTTGTTTCGCACGACTATCACGCGGGTTAAACTGATTTCACTTCGTTTTGGTGCGTCTTCGACTGCGCAACCGGAGACAACGGCGCGTGTAGAACAAACAATCGATATCCTGATGGGCTCCGGGCTCAACGCTGTCCATGTGTTTCACGAAGAAAATAAGTGACGAGGATGAGACAAAGCCCGTAGAAGGGAGGCTGGAAAAGAAAACTCGTTCTAGGAGGGGTTTAGGGGCCCTTTAAAGAGCCCCCTATAAAGCGATCCGATTCCAGAGACGAAGGAGTAGTTTCTTTGTCGCCTTCGCTACCCTCTCCTACAGACGACGTGTTCTCCTCGCCACTTATCAACTTCACAAAGCGCGTTTACAATGACAGCGCTAAGCGTTGAGCCTATCGGGATTTCACACTTCTCGGCTATACGCCACTGTCTTCGCTTGCGCGGTCGGAAACGCACATCGAACGAAGTGAAATCAGTCGATCACGCACAGTAGTCACGTGACGCAAGTCAAAAACGGCCAGGTGCATGCGCAATGCACAACATATATTTCACACAACACAATTCGCAAGAAATATTTCACGTATTTGAGAGAGATAGAGATAAATACATTGAATAAGAATGGCGATTTGGGCTAGTTAGCGCTCGTGTTGTCCTCTTTGCCTTCCGTGCCTCGACTTTCGTCTGTTTCTTCGAGCACATTCGTGCTCGCGCTGCAGCCCTTATTACTATGAATAGAGAGAAATGTTTTAATGAAGAACTGGAGATGCTTTTGTCTGCAGCCTTCCCGCCCGACATGCCACTCCAAGTGCTGGCTGGAGATTGCGATATATAGACGGATGAACGCACAACACACACGTGGAGCACACTATTTACAAAGTCTCGTATGAACCAATCTAGAGTGTGCATACCCCAATGACGTCACGCGAATACCGTTTGTGGCGCCACCCCGAGTGCGCCACGCAGAAACACGAGAAACGCCACGAGAGAATGACCGACCCTGTTTCGAGAATTTTCAGAGGCTGTTTAAGGGGCCGTTAAAGCGAAACGGGCTCGTCACTGTATGTATATGTTTACAAGGGAGTACAGCGCGCGACTCTTGTTTGTTGTGCGAGCGCAGACAAGCGCGTGGTGCGCCGAAAGAACCATCGGGCACGGCGGCGGAGTCGTCTCCCAACCCCGCTTTGAGAACGCGGAGAGAAGTTCAAGGACTCTGTGCTGCGCGACCGCCAGCTGCCTTCCTCGACACGACCCTTGACGCGACACGCGCAACCACTAGTTATTACACGGCGTCGCGGTAAAGCAACGACATAAACAAATTAACGTGCTGCATTCTCCTTTCTCCTAAAAAGAAACAGAAAAAAAAAGGAACGCCATCCATCTTGCCAGGCGTGTCTCGCCCTCTCCTTGTAGACACGCCGTCTCTGATCGTCTCGTCTGGTCTCGCCGGATCTCGTTTCGTCTCGTTTACATATGAGCGCAAAAACGCGGGAAAAAAGAATATATACATATATATCGCCCGTGTCGGTGTATAAGCAGAAGGCTGCGAGGGCGCGACCTCGCACGTGCCTTCCGCGTAATTGCGTGCAGTACGGCCGACTGCTGGAACGCGTTTAACCAAGTCCATTAGATGATATATCTTGAGCAGTGCGTGAAATAATTTCGGCGTAGTCGAATCGGACGTGCTGTCAGTGCCGAGAAAGAAGACGGTATACATACGCGACTGAGTACACTATATAAATAAAAGAAGAGGACGAAAAAAAATAAGTCCTTTGACTACTTCTTGCGAGTCCCATAGCTGACACGCCCCGTCGATGACTCTCTATATAGAGACACGTGAAATATATTTCGACGTAATATATTCTTTTTTGAGAGAAGCACGACCCAAAAGAGAGTTACCGTGCCTCCTTAGAGGGAGCTGTATACGGGGCAAATGAGGACTAGTTTCAACGAAAAAGAAGAAAACACACTCCTTTCCTTTCAGAGTGTACAGTTCATGGTCTGAACAAAGTTGAAGTCCAAGGCACGTTTCCCAATTTGAACGCCACTGCCGACGTCCATGTATTATACGCGAGATATGCAACATTAATTAAGAAAGGGAATCTTAAAGGGCGCGTTTCTTTGTTTAACAAGGCCTTGCTAAGTGTGTTGTACCTTCCTAAGTGTGTTACGATAACTGTGATACAGATGTGAAAAAAAAGTAAAGCGGTTGAAAAAAAAAATTACGGCATATTCACGGGGTGAATGATGATGAATGGGCGAAGCTCCGGAGGGATTCATCGGTAAACTGTGAATTTTCCGTGTAATTCGCCGACCAGTCGATCATCATGTAAAGACGTGAGAAACGTTGTGTGTGTATATACACAAATCAACTTTTATTTGTTTTTAGACGATGGATGGCTTGCGATGTCCCTTGCCTCGCGCGCTCGCACATCGGGGTTCTGTCTGCGAGCGCGCGCTGCTGCCGCCTTGCGCTCTCTCCGCTGTGCAGCCTTATCCATCCGGCGACTCCGAGCGCGCGCCAACAGCGAACGGATTTTATTACAACGCTCCCCCTAGCGTACGTCGCCGCACTAAATCGAACGATTGCCTTCAACCAATGACACGCGCCATATGTGACGTCATTCCTATTTTATAAGATCTCGCGTCTTTCATCAACTACAAGTACCGCTTTCTAGTTTATAACATCTTGCATCTTTTCATCATCAGCTACAAGTACCACCATCTAGTAAACACTACAAGAACTAAACGAGAGGTGGCTACATACAGGAGACGGTACCGCCATCTAGTGAACACTGCAAGAACTAAACTAGAGGTGGCTACATACAGGGGACGGTACCGCCATCTAGTGAACACTGCAAGAACTAAACTAGAGGTGGCTACATACAGGCTACAGGGGACGCACAGCCCACGCCCTAAGGAGCTTCGCCCCTAAAAACAGCTTACCGCTGGCAGGGATCGAAACTGCGACTATCTTCGCATATATACCACAATCATTACAACACTCCTAAGACACTACAATCAACGTTACATATACACTTTCCTCGGCAACATCGTCCGCTGGTTTTCATTTCCACATACGATAATCATTGCTCTGCGCCCAGGAAATAAACAAGCGCTCCGAAAAGAATGGGCATTGCAGGGAGTGTGGTCACCATGTCGCAACCAGCTGCAATGCTGCACGGAATTATGAGGACTACACACACGACGGCATTGCGGAGAAGACCGGTAAGTGTATATGCGCGTATAGTTAGTTACAGACAGACGAGCGGCTCGTTACATGCATAGGACAGTCTTCCGCCTTTCTCGTTACGCTGTTAAAAGCTTCACACCTCAGTGCGCACGGCACGGTGAATCTGTTTGCTTCTTATTTATTTGCTCAACGTGCAGCACGCTAGAAATGCGGAAAAAAGGCGCGCTTGGAAATGAAAGAGAAACGTACAAGAGAACACATCCCGTAGAAGTTTTCTTCCAGCTCAACTGCGATGCGATTTCTGTAAACATCTGCTGCTTCAGGCAAGGCGCGCAGATATGCGAGTGGTAGAGACGGGGGGGGGGGGGGTGTGAGAGAGAGAGAGAGAGACGTTAAACGTGTGGAAGCTTGTTTACGAAACCAGGTGGTCGTTATCATAATTCGAGTCCGACACAACTGCGCACGTGTCGACATGTAGGCATTTCGAAGATAACCCTATCCCACATAAACAAATTGCTACATCTTGGTCAACGGCACGATTAAGCAAGACGCCAGAGGCGGCGTTAAACGAAAAATAACAAGACATGTTTGAAGAGCCACAAGCGCAGCTTGATTACGAGATACGCCCGCGTTCACTGGACGATGTCCGGTTTAAGTTTGACCGGCTGAGGATGGTTCTTTGACCTGCAATGAAGATAGAAGTCCGCGACACCATGGCGTGTCGAAGGGGCAAGGGCAGGTCAACCCCCTCCACTCTTTGAAGAGAGAGAGGGGAATATAACACAGGTAGAGAGGTTAACCAGACTGTACGTACACCCTACAACCTACACGTGGGGAGAAGGGAAAGGGGAAGTAAATTTATGTCTGGTTACGCCCCTGGTGCATGAATATTCTTGTATTGTGACCGAAGCTTGAAATGCGGTCACAGCGTGCGTGTATCGAACCTGCTACCTAAGGCTCAGCAACGCAACGCCAAGGAGACTACCATCTTATATGCAGGTATGTAGCGTCAGCATCACATACAACAATGGCCCACCGAAAAAGAACTTTAACGGCCCCTGTGCATTCGGCACTAACGGCTCATACGCAAGCACATCAGGGAGGAACGGTTTGGGCACCCATGATACAACAGTCCCGGCCTCTTTCGCACACCCCCTGCCGACGTCCACGTGCTCG